AGTGGTCAGTAGTACAGGAGTTCCCGGACGGTGCAAGAAGTTGACATGCCCTGATAGAATAGGTTTTGCACTTGCAGTCTGATCATTTTTGTATCTATTTGTAAATGTGTGTCAGCATCCCTGATGGCCTATGTTTGTGTGTGTTGTGTGTTTCATTTTATTTTGAATTCGTTGTAACATTCTATAATTACTTAATGAAATAAACATGTTGATACATCTTAAATTCACAAGTGAGCCAGATTTTACCTGGGCTTCTAAAAGTATTTTTTAATCTCTAGTCAGTCACCACACTCATTGTTAGTCAAATGTTTAAATATACATTTTTTTCTTACATGATGGACACTAACCATAAATTGTTTAATCTGAGCATCAGAGAAATGGCCATTTGCTCCAACAGGGGAAATGCGGTAATAGGACATATGGAGAGAAACCGCGTTCAGTCTCTAACATGGCATTTTCCTAAGGGATTGGCACAGGTGTTTCTGGCCTCAACGCGGTTTGTCTTACTCTCCACCATATTGCTAAGTGGTCACCAGCTGGAGGGCCACAAGAAACAAGCTAGTATTTCTCCAGCTGGGTCTGGCTGCAAAACAGGCGAGGGCTGCAAAGGTCCCCTGTGGTATTGGTTTAGCTGCTGCTGAAGACACGGCTGTACTTTCCCAAGTGTGGTTTGCACACCAAGTTTCCACACACAGTGAGGAGGGAGTTGCTGTCCTTCAGAAGTTGGCATGAGGGTGCTGGCCTCTGAAGAGGCTCAACACAGAGGAAAGAGAGCACCAGGTTGGATACCAATAGAGCTTGGGTGGTGCAAATGGTTAAGTCTCAGGCTACTACCTGACAGATTGTAGGTTCAAACCTACCCAGAGGTAACTCAGAAGAAAGGACTGGCAATTTACTCCTGAAAAATCTCTACTCACTGCTATCGAGTCTATTCTGACTCAAAAAGACCCTATGGGGCAAGGTAGAACTGCTCGTGGTGGGAGTAGAAAGCCTCATTTTCCTCCTGAGGAGCAGATGGTAGTTTCGAACTGCTGACCCTTCAGTTAGTTATCCAGCACATAACCCACTTGCCTCCAGGGCTCTTCAGTTATTAGAAAAGTCCGTCAGACATGGGAATCTTGATTGAAATTTGTTGTGCTTTATCTTGCTTTGTTTTGTAGGGTGGGGTAGGGTAGGGGTGGGGGTGGGTTTGATTTCAAAGGGAAGACTTTAAGTGGATTCACCTCTTCCTTTAGAAATCAAAACCAATGTTGTGTCTAGGTTTGGGAGGACTGAAGAAGGTAGGCCACGGGAAGGCACAGAAGTCTTTGAAGGCACCCTCCCAAGCTGCTCAGCCAGGCCCTGTCAGGGAATAGGATGGAACCACGGACATGACAGACAGCAGAGGCCGTGGGCAGCCACAGGAGAATCGTGTCTTGTTAGAGGCACAGAATCACAAAATGTCACAGTGGGAGGGGTCTGAGAGGTCATCTCCCTAAACCCTCAGTTTACAGAGCAGAAAACTGAAGCACTAGTGGGGGGGGGGGGTTGTCTCCCAAAAGAAGGAGCCCAAGAGCTTGTCCACACTGTCCCTTCCCTCCCCACCACGTCAGCCCTCCTCACGATGTTAACACTGTGGGGTTATATCGCCACAGTAAGAGCATAAAGCTTCCTGGAATTCCATCCCTCTAAACAAACTTCCCGCCCCGGGGAAAAGAGAAAACAGAAACTTCTGGATAGTGAACTAATGATTAGCCAGGCTTCCCACAACTGGACACACTAATGATTAGCCAGGCTTCCCACCAGTGGACGACAGGGGACCCCAAAAAACAGAGGAAACCTCCACTCTCAGGGAACCAGGAGGATTTGCCCCCGAAGCTAGAAGAAAGTGGAAAAGTGTCTCACAAGAGAAGGCAGCCAGCCCTCTGACGTCCAAAGATTCGGGAGGGCACTGTGCTCCAGAGGAGGCACGAGGTCGCTCACAAGTTGAATTAAAATTGTATGAAATGTAAATGATGCTCCTTTTCTGACCCATGGAATCCAACCGGAGTCCTTCCACAGCTACCGGAGCCCTTTCCCCTCCCCATCCCCCACCAGGCCCTCGGCGGGTACTCAGGAAAGGGCAGTTAGTTTTGATGAGAGACACCCCGCAGGACAAGGACCACCTCTTTACGGAGTCCTGGGGGTGCAGTGGGCGAAGTGCTGTTCTGCTAACCAAACGGTTGGTAGTTCCAACCCACAGACAGGTCACTCCCCAGGAGAAGGATGAGGCGGCCAGCCTGAGTCTCTCCTGAGAAGTTCGACTCTGTCCCAGGGCCCCTCCGAATCGGAGTCAACTCCGTGGTAGTGGGTTTCAGGAAATTGTGGGGCGAATCAAACCCACTTGCAACCTTTTGCCTCCCGAGCTTCTTTCTTCCAAACACATTCCAGGAAAGGACTTTTATTAACTTCTAATAACAAAGATGATCAAATAGTTTGGCGCTACTCACCCCTCTACCCTCAGGCAGGGGTAAAATTTAAGGGACGATGGGGCAGGGGAAGAGGGAGGGGGAATCCAGAAACTAAAGGCTAAAAAGCAAGACCCCTGTCGGCTTCTATATTGGCCTGCGAATCACAAGGTCAGTAATTCGAATCCTCCTCAGGAGAAAGATGGGGCTCGCTGCTCCTGTGAGCACTGGCAGCCTGGGAAACCCACGGGGGCAGGTCCACTCTGTCCTATCGGATTTCTATGAGTCAAAATCGACTCTCATAATAAGAAAGGAAAAACGCATCCACTGTGGAAGTGGAGGCTTTCACACAGGACGTGGGGCCCTCTAGGAGTGATGTCCCTGCCGGTTTTACCCAAGGAGGTCCGGCTCACACAGCACACCATCCCATTCCTTCCCTGTTACTGTGTAACCGAGAAATGGTCACATTCATTCTCAATGTGCATCTTTCAACCCCAGGACCTATGGGGGGGGAGAGGGTGGGGACCTGTCATAGTTAACATATTTTTCCAGCTAAATCGAGTTGCAGTGATGGAGAAACTCTGTAACTCATCAAGGACAGAAAGAGGTCAAATTCCTTGTTATTCACAAAGATTTCCTGTTTTACAACACTCCATAATCCATCAAATTCCATATACTTCCCTGACAATTCAGTTAGTAAGTGCGGAGACAAAAGGCACAGATAGCAATAAGAGCCTCCACCGATGTCACTGGAATTAAAAGTAAGGAGGCCTTGTTTTCTTTGTTAGCTTTACATGTTATCTTATCTGTATATGTAAGCACAGAAGGCACTGGACCTTCACAAGCGTGATCTAATCCGTGACTTTCCTCGGACCAGTTCCTCTTCTTCTTCGCTGTCAGCCCTCCCTCCCTGCCTCTCCCCGGTTTCTCTTCTCCTTTTCTCTGCTTCCCCGCTCTCGCCCCCTCCTGTCGGCCTACCTGCTCTTCTCTCACGTGCTCCTCCTCCTCTTGCTCTTTGCTCTTGCGAACAAGGAGGCTGCTGTTGATTTCACAAAGTGGGGAACGTGACAGAGGAAGGGGAAAATTTTTTTCTCTGAATGCTGTTTCACACTGCTAAGCGTTTGAAGAATGATTCTCATCAGGAACATCATGGTCCTGAAAACGGAAGGCGCCGGGTTCCAAGCACAGGAACCCCACAGATGTTATCTAGAGTGGAGTCCATGAAAAGGCTGCCACTATGCAGTTTCAGGGTGCCTGCTCACCGCGGAGCTGTCGGTGATGGAACTAAAGCTTACCTGTGCTGCACGTGTGGCTACCGGCCAGCAACAGAACAATGTCACCATCGGGCTGGTTCTGAAACCAGCCTACAGGTTTGCTACATTTTGAATAACCTATTTTAAGAAAGTATATTAAGAATGTATAGTGTGAGCATTTCTTAAGGATGTTATATATATATAATAAGATCCTTATTTCATTATAATTATATAATATTTTCATATGTAGAGAGAGCGAAAATAACTTGCTTATAAACATTCTCTGAGAACCTTCTGCGTAAGAGGATGTCAGGTCATCCTTTGCATTAGACCTCTGGGAATAAGATAGCTGACATCTTACAGCTGCATGATGACAGAGGAGAGATTTTCTTAGTTAACAGAAGCAGAAACAGAGTCTACTCTCAAATCCAAAATTAGCTCATTCATTTATGCCCCATGCTTTATGCTAAAGGGTTGTGGCTACTGTAGCTTGCCTCTTGTTATTCTCATGCTACGTTACTCCCATTATATGACTTCACATACAGTGTGAGCTGTGTCTCACTCTAAGGGACTTCCTGCAAACTCCTCCTGGTCAAGCTGTCCTTGAAATTTCATAGTTTCATGATATGATTGCTTCCTACACCAAGCATTCCCACATTGACAGGCACAAATTGCCAATGCTTCCAGAATTTTGACGAAAACAATGCTGTCATGGCCGCAGACTTCAGGACCTGAGCAGCTTTGGCGGGGGAGCCCCTAGGAATAAAAGGCCTCTTTGTACAGTCTTGGAGAGCATGTGCTCTCCCGAAAAGGAAATCATTTTTAACATTTTCCTATCAAAGGTAACCCTGACGTGGAATGCAAAATGCACAAGCCATTTTAAGACCCACCTGAGATTTCCAAGAGGCCTGACCTTTGTGATGAGCTGAATGCGACTGAGCCCCAAACCCAGAGGAGCAGTGCTCCCTGCCCGGCCTTTTGCCATAGAGACTCTCCAGACGCCCAGACCAGAGGCCCGTCCTCACAGCGCTAGGTCAACTCCTTCCGTAGGCTTGCCTGCCTCCCAGGGCCAGCTTAACTGGAGGCTCTCCTGGCTTCGCTGTCACCTTTCTGGTGTCGCCCAGGCTACCGAAGCTCAGGGGTCCCAGCGTTTGGTTCTCTCAGGACGCCCCCGGCCTCCAAAGCAAACACTGCATGTTCAAAGTGATAGCAGCATCATTCCCTTGTTCTGTTCTTCAAGGACAGCAGATCGTAAATTTCTCTCCCAGCCAAGGGCCACCTTGCAAGTATTCCCTTTCACCACAAAGCCCAGGCCACTCACCGGCAAGGAGGCTGAGGAATCCCAAGAGCCAGGAGCCCCAGCAAAGGCGGGTAGCAAGGAGTTCTTCTGAGGAGAGCCCCATCGCAGGCTACTAGCTGGCTCGCTCAACTGCAAACCGCACATCAGAGGGGACAGAGAAAAAAGCCTGAGCACAACCAGCCAGGCACAGCCCTCCCACCCTTAACTACACTCTGGGCGGGGCCAACTTGGAAGCACCAGGCCAGCAGAGCCAGGTGGTAAGGTAATGAAATATAAAAATAAACAAATGTGTGAATGAACTTGTGCTAATGTATAAAGCCAGCTTGGTGCGCACACATGCAAGTGTTAGCACATACATGTGCACAAACACACATACACACACGCTGATCCTTCCCTGCTTCTCAGGCCCAGGCAACCCTGCCCACTCTGCCAGCTTACATGTAGGCACAAGTAAATATAAATTTCTACAGCCACACTGAGCTGGGTTCCCCTGGGCTGGTGATTATCCCATCCCGATTCCTTCAGTCAGTCAGTCAAGTTTCCATTCTCCTTATCCCCAAATTCAAACGACTTCTGGTCTAAGTACAGTAGCAGTGCTTGAGAGAGCAAAGCTCTCTGTGGGAAGAGTTACCTCCACCTCCCTGATGCAAATATTGCCATTGACTTGTGATGGCTGTTTTCTCCATGCAGCTGTGACTGCTTAAACATGATACACTCTGAAAGAAAAGAAAAGAAATTAGTTGTCCAAAGTTTGATCCCCACTGATGGTAATTCTTATGCGTAAGTGTGCCCCATGTGATTTTTTTTGGGGGGGGGGGTTAAAATTTTTTTTCTTATTGACATTTACATAATTCACATATCATGCATTCCATAGTTCAGTCATATTAAGAAAGATGTATAATCGTCACCACATCTGAGTTTAGAACATTTTCTTCTTTCTCATTCGCTCCTTAGCCCCTTAGGTAATTATTAATCCAATTACTGACTCTAGAACTTTATCTATAGTTGTACATTTCACATGTTGGGCTGCTAACTGCAAGGTCAGCAGTTCAAAGCCACCCCCCACTCCTCACGAGAAACATGTCTTTTCTACTCCGGTGAAGAGTTACAACCTGGGAAAGCCACAGGGGCAGTTCTCCTCTGTCCTATAGTGTCCCTATGGGTCACCATCAACTCAGCGGCAGTGAGTGGACTTTTGGTTTGTGGGGTTTCTATGAGTCAGAGTTTGCTTCACAGCAATGGGTTGCTTTCTGGGTTTTGTTTTTATACATTGTTTTATTGGGGGCTCCTGCAGCTCTTATAGAAATCCATGCATCAATTCTATCAAGCACATGTGTACGTATGTTGTCATCATCATGCTCAAAATTCTTTCTACTTGAGCCCTTGGTATCAGCTCCTCTTTATTCCCACCCTCCCCACCCTGCCCCAACCCTCGTGAACTCTTGATAAACTATAAATTCTTATTATTTTCATATCTTATACCATCCACTGTCTCCCTTCACCCACGTTTCTGTTAATTGTCCCCCTCGTAGGGTGGGGGTTATATGTAGATCCTTGCCATTGGTTTCTCTTTTCTCCCCTTCCCCCTCCCCATCTTCTGCCTGCCCTCTTGGTAGTGCTACTCCCATTGCTGCTCCGGCGGGGGTGGCGGGGGGAGCTATCTGTCCTGGATTCGTGTGTCGAGGGCTCAAACAGCAACGGGTTTTGAATTTTTATTTTGCTTGTTTTTATTTTTCTGAGGCGTCTCTGGGTGCACGTAAATCTCCAACCATTAGGGTACAGACCCTAACTGTTTGGGGCCCCGTCGCGCCAAACTCGCTGCCACTAAGTCATTGCTGACTCGTGGCGACCCGCTGTGGGTTGCTGAGGCTCTAACTGCCTCCGCGCAGCTGGCAACCACGTGGGTCACAGCCCACCGGTAACCACTACACCCCAGGGTTCCTCATTTGCGATGCCACCAGGACTCCTTGATTTTATCACAGCCACAAGCACTGCTCCCGTTATTTCAGAGGAATAGGGAATTGAGAAAGTAGGATCCCTGCTGGCATAGTGGTTATGCATTGGTCTGTGATCCTCGTGGTCAGCAGTTCAAAACCACCAGCAGCTCCACGGGAGAAAGACTGGGCTCTCCACTCCCACGAACAGTTATCATCTCAGAAGCGCACAGGGAGTCACTATGAGTTAGCACTGACTCAATGACAGCAACTTTGGTTTGGTTTTGGAGGGATCGAGAAACATCCGCCCACTCTCCTAGTCCATTCAGACTCCATCAGGCTCTTCATAGCTGCCCCAAACTCCACCGCCACCGAGTGATCTTCAGGCCCTGGGCTTTTCTCTAAGATCTGGATGACCCCACCACATCGCAGAACCCTAGAACTGCAGGGTTCTGCATCTCCCTAACTGCTAGGCAGTGCCACCTCCTCCTCTCGCAAAGGCTTAACCCTCAGCTTCCCAGGTGGAATTCCCCCTCGTTGGATCAGCAGCGCTGTCCCACAAATACGCATTGGAAGTCATCAGGACACTACATCTGCAAATCCATTGACAGATGAGAAACCTAGGTTTTTGAAACTTAAGAATTAAATTGTATCAAAAGCAATTAAGTAGCTTACCGCATAAATAAAACAAAGGAAAAGAACAGCATAATGATCTTGATTGATACAGAGAAGGAATCTGACTAAATCCAGGCCCGTTCCTGATAAATACTCTCTACAAAATAGAAATAGAAGGGACATTCCTCAACATAATGAAGGTAATCGATGCAAAACCAGTGTCCAACCTTACTCTCACCGAGAGACTGAAACCCTGCACACACCACTGGTGGGGCCATACGCTGACACAGCACTCTGAAAAGTGAGATGGTGCTTTCTCCAAAAACTGGCAATAGACATACCATCTGACCCTATAATCCCTCTACTTGGAACATGCCCTACAGGAATAAAACCCACGAAGCGAATAAACATGTGCTCACGCATGCTCATCTCAGCACTACTCACACTAACGAAAAGATGGAAGCCACCTAAATGCCCCCCTCTGCGAGGACGATGCACAAACTTGGGTATACACACAAAGCAGATTATCATGTAGCATTAAGGAAACAGGATGAGCTGGGAAAGCCCTCAGAACATGAATGAGCCTGGAGGACGTTATACGGAGTGCAATCAGTCAAGCACAAAAAGACCACGCTTCTGTGAGACCACAATTGGAAGAAGTCTTCCATTAAACAAACAATAGAAAAAACAAAAATATCATTTGATAGCAGAAGTACAAAGGTAAAGCACTGGCCAGAAGGTAGACATGTGCTAACTTGGGTGAAGGGGAAGGTAATATAAGCAAGAGGGAAGTTGGCCAAAAATAATGGCGACCGTGGGGAAGATACCAGGAAGAGTGTCACAATGAAAGGTAACAGAGGTCAATACTCTTATATGCACGACCCCGCAATAACAGTGATAAGCAGGCTGAAACAGTGTGAGAGGAAGCATGGGAGTATAGTTACAACTATATGTGGGTTTGACAAAAGATATCTATACAAAGTGTTTAATTTTGCTGCAAATATATCCATGAATGTGGTAAAGCATGCAGGAGCAACGCTATGAAAAAAAATTTTTAATCATTTTATTGGGGGCTCATATAGTTATCACAATACATACATGCATCCATTGTGTCAAGCCATTTGTACATTTGTTGCCATCATCATTCTCATAGCATTTCCTTTCTAATTGAGCCCTTGGTATCAGTTCCTCATTTTTTCCCATCCCTCTTACTACCCTCCCTCCTTCACAAACCTGTGATAATTTATAAATTATTGTTTTTTCATGTCTTACACTGACCGTTGTTTCCCTTCATCCACTTTTCTGTTGTCCATCCCCCAGAGAGGGGGTTATACGTAGATCCTTGTGATTGGTTACCCCTTTCTCCACCCACCTTCCCTTACCCTCCTGGTATCACTACTCTCATTTTTGGTCCTGAGGGGATTATCTGCCCTGGATTCCCTGTGTTGCAAGCTCTTTATCTGTACTCGTGTACGTCCGCTGGTCTAGCTGGATTTGTAAGGCAGAATTAGGTTGATGATAGTGGGGGGTGGGGAGAGGAAGCATTAAAGAACTAGAGGAAAGTTGTATGTTTCATCAGTGCTATACTGCACCCTAACTGGTTTGTCTCTTCCTTGTGACCCTTCTGTAAGGGATGTTCAATTGTCTACAGGTGGGCTTTGGGTCTCCACTCTGCACTCCCCTTCATTCACATTGATATGACTTTTTGTTCTGGGTCTTTGATGCTTGATACTTGATCCCATCAACACCTCATGATCACACAGGCTTCTGTGCTTCTTCCATGTGGACTTTGTTGCTTCTGAGCTAGATGGCCCCTTGTTTGTCTTCAAGCCTTTAAGACCCCAGACGCTATATCTTTTGGTAGCTGGGCACCATCAGCTTTCTTCACCACATTTGCTTATGCACCCATTTGTCTTCAGCAATCGTGTCAAGAAGGTGAGCATCATGGAATGCCAGTTTAATAGAGCAAAGTGTACTTGCGTTGAGGGAGTACTTGTGTAGAGGCCCAATGTCCATCTGCTACCTTAATACTAAACCAATAAATATATGTACATAGATCTATTTTCTCATCGTCCTATATAAATATATTTACATATGTACATGCCTGCATTTAGACCTCTATAAATTCCCTTTGCCTCCTAGTTCTTTCCTCTATTTCCTTTTACCGTTATGAACACTGCTTACACATCATCAAACACTTTGAAAGAATGAATCCCTGGGCCTGGGGGCTCCAGACCATAGTCTTGGAGAGCAGTAAGGTCAATTGTCAAAATGTAGTCCATAAAAGCAGTATTCTACACCCTACTTTGGTGAGTAGCACTTGACCTCTTAAAAGCTCATGGATGGGCCATGCAAGGTGCCACTATTGTTCTCTCCCTCGCTGGAATAAAGAAGAGTGGTGAAAAACAAAAACTCACAACAACCACCACCACCACCCCCAATGGATTGATTCTCATATCAACCCTATATCGAGTTTCCAAACTTGGAAAATCTTTATAGGAGCAGATAGTCTCATCTTTCTCCCAGAGAGTCACTGGT